AGAGAGAGGGATGGGTGAATAGGGCCAACATCTCAGCGGGCCGTGGCTGGATTCATAATGTTGTAGTTTCAGGTGACTTTAGAGATGATGTTTTGCCTTCCTAGGTCACACTCCTCAGAGCAGAAGGGACCCCAGCCCTCCCTCTGCCTCCCATGAAAAGTCAGGTCATTGCTCCTCCCTTCTGTGGGTGGAAACCAGGCAGGAGGTTCTCCAGAAGACTGACCAGAGTGCTTTGTTTGCAGTTCAACATTAAAAAGTCCACAGAGCCCGTCCAGCCCCGAGCCCTCCTCAAGTTCCCAGACATCTATGGACCCAGGCCAGCTGTGACGGCCCCAGAGGTCATCAACTACGCAGACTACACTCTGAGGACCACAGAGGAGCCTGCTGCGTCTGCCAGCCCTCAGGCCCCAAATGACAGCCGCCTCAAGAGGCAGGTCACAGAGGAGCTGTTCGTCCTTCCTCAGAATGGTAGGATCTCCTGCCCCTCACTCATTCATGAGCTACATCGGGGTTGGTCAGTGTTTGTGTAGGTGCTGGGCATGGCCAGCTCAGAGTCAGTGACATTTGACACTGGACAAACAGGTGGGCACAGAGCCTCAGGATTATAGGCCTTTGTTCCTGCTGACATATTGCCACATTGCTTCTCCCCAGCTTTTCCCTGGGAAATGGAGACTCCCTTTCCATGTGTTCAGAGTCATGGGTTAAACTCTCTGCCCTTTTATGTACTTGTGTGGCCTCAGTCATGTTGCTAACTTCTTTGGGCCTCAGTTTCCTCATCTATAAATTGGGTTCATACTATTACCCACTTGGTAAAGTTGTAAAGTGTAAATAAAATAATGCATATAAAGTGCTTAGCTCAGGGCCTGGCACTAGGAGGTCATCAAAATATATTGTTATTATTGCTTCTATTCTGCTCATCAGCATCAACATCAAGAATGCATCTCCTTTAGGTGGACAGAGCTGTGCTGGGCACTGGGCAGACATGCAAACAGAGATCATCCTTAACCCAAATAGCACACAAACCTTTATAAGGAGGTGAAATCTACAGCTGGGAGAGTGGATTGTGTGGTTTGGGGTTCTGTTTTGTGTGGTTGGAGATGGAGACAGTGGAAGCAGAAGCAGCAGAACCAGCTTTCACATTGACCCTGCTCCTAACACATGTCCTGGCATGGCTCCAGCCGTACCCACGCTGGCCAGTGAACAAGTGCCCCTCCAACCTGGCTCAGAGCCATAGTGATTAGCCTGGCATTTCTTCCAGAACAAATGCACGCAGTACCTACGGCATGAATGAATCCTGGTTGGCTTTAAGCCTCCAGATTTGCCAGTGAACATTTTAAATAGATTTAAAATACGCCTACTGAAGACTTGAGAGCTTAAGGTTGGATGGGAAACCACTTGCTTGAGGACCCTTGTGGGTGCTTTTCTTGGGAGCTCCAGGTTTCTCAAAGCTCAGATGAAGCCAGGATTAGACAGGTTGGCCACCAAGGAGAGCAGGAGAGCAAATCACAGCCTGGAACTCTGTAGGCTTCAGAACACATTAGATCATCTCTTTCTCCTGTTTCCTCATTCCTTCCCTTGTCCATAAGGCAGCAGCCGAGTTCTGATTCCACAGAAGTCTATGGAGAGTTGATTGGCTCGGCGAGCATGGACCAGAGGTGCGGCAGCGCAGGGGAGGAGGGGGCCAGATCCCGCAGACACTGCCCGTGACATGCTGGACGTGTCTACTCCCACCCAGGACGATCCTCATCAGCTCCTTGTAGAGTTCAAAGTCCCAATTTTGTTTTCAATTTTATTTTGTATTGTTTCAGGTGTACAGCTCAAAGTCCCAATTCTTGAAGCTGAATCCACTCCTGCTTCTCCATGTGGTACTGGCTTTGGTTTGGTTTTGATTTTGAAGTGTGAGGTGGTCTGAGGGCTGAGAGCTCTGGGTGCCCAACAAGCCCCTGCTGACCCTGACCTTGCTGTGGTTGTCCCTGTGGTGCCCTTGGAAGCCACACGGGTCCCGTGTGCATCTTGCTTTACACATCACTCTCATCCTGGCCAATCTGTCCCCTGGTGAGATGCCCAGGGGCATTTTTTACTACCTGCAGGGACCCAATAATGGGCCATTTTAGAAATTAAACACTCCTTTCTATATCTGCCCCCGAAAATTAAAATGTTTCAAATTCCAATTTGCTTAAAGTGGAGTCTGCTGCAGCTGCTAGATCCTTTCATTCTTATATTTGAATAATGAGAGTCGTCCAGATGTTTGTTCAAGGGAGGGGCAGAGTGAGAAGTAGTTCTGGTTTTAGGAACTTCTGAATTAAAGATCAGGTCACTCCTTCATTCAGCAAGCATTTATTGAACATGCACGAAAATCAACCCATCTTCCCTGACCTTGTCCCAGCACCTCCTCCTGACTCATTCCCTAATGGCATGAAATGCTGGGGAGCAGGGATTAAACTCTGTGGGAAGGTGGAGCTGGGCATGGGTTGGGGATGGTTTGCCTGAAACAGGGTGACCAGAACCACACAGGCTATGACAGTTTTTCTTACTGTAAGCTCTCCGTGGCCAGGCCTTGGGCTAAGTACTTTCCCCACTTTATTTTATTTAATACTCACAGTAACACTAGGAAGAAGGAGCTGTGATCATTCCCATTGTAAAGATGAGGAAACTGAGGTTTGAAGAAATCGGGTAACTTGTTCAAGGTCACATAACTGTTACATACCAGCTTGTGTCTTACACCAAAGCCCATGTCTTGACCACCGGGCTGTGATTGACTCCTGAAATGCAAGGCCCAGGAGCGCAGGTGCTGCCACCATGATTTTGCACCTGCCTCGGGAGCTTTGGGTTCAGGTTGGTGGCACAGGTGGCAGAGCTGGGAAAGGTGTGATCCGGAAAACAGGACTCCAGCATGGGTGGCAGGAACGCCTTTACCTTCTTAACAGGTGTGGTGGAGGATGTCTGTGTCATGGAGACCTGGAACCCAGAGAAGGCTGCCAGCTGGAACCAAGCCCCCAAGCTCCACTACTGCCTGCAGTATGACCAGCAGAAGGCGGAGCTGTTTGTGACTCACCTGGAAGGTAAGCTCTCAGTTGACTCTCAGGGATTTCTATGTGTCTGTCTGCCACAGAGGAGCTGTGCAGGAGGGACGGGAGCACCCATAGCTGGGGACTGGTGCTAGATGAGCACTCTGTAGCAAATAGCCCTGAAACGTGTGATGCTCAGACACATAGGGGTTTTTTTCTCTCTCTCATATAACAATCCTTGGTGGGCGGATATCTTTCCTCCAAATGGTGACTCAGGGACCAGGCTCCTTCCATCTGTGGCTCCATAATCCTCTTGGGCCTCTTTGTCACCTGTTTCCAGCAGGTGGAAGGAGGGGGAGGACACGGAGAGGGCACAACCATTCCTTAAAAACTACCTGCACTTGATATGCATCACTCCTGCTCACATCTCATTGGCTAGAACTCAGTCACATGGCCACTGACTGCAAAGGAGGCTGGGAAATGTGGTCCAGCAGGTGCCCAGCTAGAAGAGGAAATGGGGTTTTGATGAACAGCTAGCCATCTCTGCCATGGGTGCATTTGACATTGGACACAGAGTGCGTTCTGAATAGTCAGCATTCCTAGGACCAGGTGGTCTTCCCGAGGGGTCAGGCTGTCCCTGGTCTCTCTGCCCTGACAATTCACATTACCATCAGCAAACAAAGGGAGGACTTTGTGAAGGAATCAGGGCTAACAATGGGCTACTCCATGGCTCCTGGAAGCTGGGGCAGGATAAATTGGACTTTTGTATTTTATTTAATTTTTTTGAGGGAGTGTCTCTCCTTTTTATTTTTAAAAGACTTTTTAGCATTTTTATATACTTTATTATATTTGGTCTTCACAGTGGTCCCATTTTGCAGATTAGGAAACTGAGATCTAGCAACATCAGGTCTCTAAGATCACTCCAACCATTGGTGTCAGAGCCAGGACTGCATCCAATTTCCTTGAAGCTCATGGAGAGTTCTTTCTGTCAGGACACATGGCCTCAATTCTCCTCTTCCTGGGGAGCATCAGCTGCCATGTCTCACGTTATCATTTAGGAACCAGTCCTAAAAGCACCACAAGTGCAGATGTCCTCATTGTGAAGCATTGAAAGCACCAAGGTTCAGAATATGAAACAACATTCAGGATTTAGATCACAGGTGGTGATGTGGTTAACGTGAAAAGCACAGAACAAACCATTACGGTGTCAGTAGCAACACCAACAAGTCATCAGCAGTTCCTGGGCTCAGGCACCTTGGAGAATCTCAGAGTTGTGAGGTGGGAGGGGCTCTGGGAAACACCAAGCCTTGTCCCTGTTCTCTGAGGAAGACTAGCACATGCTGACATTGGCCCCCTCACGTGAGAGAGCCAGCTCTCAATGTCTTTCTGAAAGGTGATTCTACAACACCAAGGGGTCAGCCTTGGGCTTTCTCCACACACCCGAGGTCATGACCTTTAAGCCAGATTCTGCTACTCAAAGCAGGGCTTCTCTCCTACCTTGGTTCCATGTATGTGTTGCTTTGTCCTTGGCTGCAGCTGTGACCAGTGACCATGACGGAGGCTGTGACTGCTATGTCCAAGGCAGCGTGACCAACAAGACAGGCTCTGTGGAGGCTCAAACGGCCCTAAAGAAGCGGGAGCTGCGTATCACCTGGGAGGAAGGCCTGGTGCTCCCCCTGGCAGAGGAGGAGCTCCCCACCGCGACCCTGACACTGACCCTGAGGACCTGTGACCGCTTCTCTCGCCACAGTGTGGCCGGGGAGCTTCGCCTGGGCCTGGATGGGGTGTCCGTACCTCTGGGGGCTGCCCAGTGGGGGGAGCTGAAGACTTCAGTTAAGGTGGGGTTATCTCTCCCCAGGACAGCTCAAACCTGTTAGTGGAGCATGAATGGCAGATCTGGGCCAGTGCTCATGGAATAGCTTTAGGGAACTTCCCAGCTCAGGTGTGTGTGTGTGCGCGTGCGTGCGTGTGTGTGTGTGTGTGTGTGTGTGTGTGTAAGGAAGCCTGGAGTCTTGAACAGGGTAGAGGGCTGGAGCAGACCCACAGCCCTGGTTTTGGGATTCCTGGGGTCTAGCTTTGCTTCTAGCCTGCCATCATGTTATGAATGTATTGACTCTGGTGCTGGCAGTATTACCCTCATTTAAATTCATTTCTAATTCCTATGCTCCTACTATGTGCCAGGCACTGCAGAGGAGATGAGTCCCAGGTGCTGCTGTGACTCCCCATTTACAGACAAGGGGACTGAGACTTGGAGTAGTTCAATGGCCCATGCAGGGTCGCCATCTGGGATATGGCAAGCTCTGCCTTGAGGCCAGGCAGTCTGGCTATAAATCTCAGGCTGTCCCCTCGCCCCCATGCCATGGAAGCGCCTGACTGTGAGGCACTAGCAGCAGGCGCCTTTCCCGATGGACACTGCAGGAGCGGGGAGTATGCTTTCACTCCCACTTGCTCCCCTTTTTGCTGTCATTTCGTTCTTGCCTTATTTTTCTCTTTTTCCAAGACTCAGAAAATCGATTAAACATTGACAGCCGTGCTTGGCTGGAAGTAGGCTGTTCTGAAGCACACTCTCTAATCAGTGCAAGGTTGGGGATTTGTGTGAAGTCCTAGCTGGGGGCCCCCTGGAAGAAGACTCCAACGCTTTGATCTGTTCATCCCGGAAAACAGCTTTTTCCAGAGATGGAGGGGCACCCCCAGGGCTCTGGAGACTTTGGTGCCACCCCAAAAGGGCTGAGCTCTAGCCTATATAGGCAGAAGTCTCAGGCCCCAAAGCCACTTCTGCCCTCCCCCTTGGAAGAGTAAAAATCATTCATTCCACAAATACCTTGCCGGATTTCTGCCATGTGCCAGGCACCATTCCAGGAGCTAGGGACACAGAATTAGTTGGACAAAGCCCTGCCTTTATGGCTCATCCACTCTCATAATCATCACACACGTTGTAGCTGTCGCTGTTACACAGATATACTCTCACAGGACCACTGACCTGTTTCCCACAGACGTGAGCAATCTCAGAGGGCAGCCTGGAGTCAGAGGTAGGAGGTGGCACTCAGTGTATGTGGCAGGAGAGAGCTCCTGTCCCACCATGGGAGCAGGTGGGTGAAGCCTTCAGTCTCTACAGCCCAGAATGACTTAACAAAGGTGCCAGCGGTGCCCCACTTCTCACCAAAAGACACTCAGCCAAAAGTGGTGTGAGTCACTGGGGACCATATAGCGACCCACCCCAAGGGCAGCTTGAATGATGATTCATTGGGCACTCAAGAAGTTGGGGGGGGGTAGGCAAAACCAGGGAAAGGGTGGAGAAAGAACAAGGGTTACGGGCAAACCTCATTTTACTGAGGCTTCGCTTTATTGTACTCCACAGATGTTGCATTTTTTACAAATTGGAGGCAAGACCCTCCACCTGCAAAAAGATTACAGCTCGCTTTATTGCAATGCTCTGGAACCGAACCTGCAGTATCTCCCGTGTGTGCCTGCGTTTCTGTCAGCAGGCACTTAAAGCAGCAGAGCCGAGGGGTGGATGCTGGAGAGCAATGGGCTTAGGACATGGGCTTTGCTCTCAGATCAGACCCCTGTTCAAGGCTCAGCTTTGCTACTTGCCAGCTACATGACCTCAAGCAGTGACGTGCCCTTTCTGAGCATCAGGGTCTTATGCTTAAAATGGGAGCAAAATCAGTATTGCTCTTAGTGTTGTTTCCAAGATTAAGTGGGATGTCTCACCCTTATATCTCACAAATATTTATTGTGTGTCAACTGAGTGCTGGGAGCTGGGGATGGCTTTGTGGAGCTAACAGCCTAGTGCGATAGCTCATGCAGTTACACCCGGCATGTAGTAAGTGTTTAATGTTAGCTGCTATTATTCATGCCAGTGCCAAAGGTCCTGGCAGCTCCCAATTCATTTCATCATCTGACTGGTCACTTATGGCTAGTTGAATTGTCAGGGTCACGTCAAAGACATTTTTCCTGGGTGGAAGGCACAACTCAGGCAGAGGGCTAGCTGATTCCTCCATCCAGCCTCACTCTTGAAGCCCAGACTGGCTCCCATTCATCCAGAAACAGTGTACCCACTTAATCTCAAGAGGTACTGATCGGCCTTCCTTAATAACCAATGGTGATAAAGTAAATAGTTCCGCAGTTCTTAGTGTCCTACACTGTTCTAAGCCATTAAATATCAACTCAACTTCTACAACCCCGTTGGTTGATGTTATTATTCCCATTTTACAGATGAGGAAAGGGAGGCTTGGGAAAGTTAAGTAACTTTCCTGAGGTTATAGCTAGTAAATGGGAGGATTGGAACTCAGACCTAGATAGTCTGGTTCTAGAGTCTATGGTCTTAGCACTACCTTTGGACTGTGACAGGCACCTCCTGTAGGGGTTCTTTTGGTCACTTTTGTCCCCTCAATGGATTTGTTAAAATTCCTAACAAATTCTTGTAGAACTTTCAGTGGAGGCACTCTGTAAAGCTGCAGATAGGGATGGACATTTTGGATGCTTTCGGAGGCCTCTGCACCTCCTGTCAAGTGCAGTTACTGCTGGCCGTCTCGTGTGTATTACCTGACATCGTATGCCTGGCTTTTTGTTGACATGGTTGGCCATTCTGTTGACTAAGCAGGGCCCTGCTCAGCATTAGTACATGGCATTATTGACTCTCTCAGCTCTGGAGGGGCTGGAAGGAATTGTCTTTTCAAACAGATAAATGAATCACAACTCCCCACTGCCCCAGGAACCTGATGGGTCAATGCGGTGGTTCTCCAACTGTGTTCCCTAGAACCCTAGCATTCTGTAAAGATGTCCTGGGAGCTTGGGCAGGGGCAGGTGAAGGGTGAGAGGGAATCCTGGCCCTCTGCCCCTGCTCCTCCTGAGTGGCATTTCTTTGATCTGCTTTATATGTTCTGTTTAAATATAAGGTATTTGGAAAATCACATTTTTGTGGCAAATGAAACAAACTCTTATTGAAACAGATGCCACATATAATCCTTCTCTGCACCCCTCCCTTTTGCAGGGGTGGAGAAACCAGTGCTGATGAGTAAATGGTTTCTAGGATGCCTGTTGGATACAAATAGTGAGACCCTAGCCTTAGCTTTAGTTGATGGGGCAGAAGCCACCCCTAACAAGCCATCTCTGACACTCTCTCTTCTGTTTCAGGAGCCTTCAGCAGGAACTGGAGAGGTCCTTCTCTCCATCAGCTACCTCCCGGCTGCCAACCGCCTCCTGGTGGTGCTGATTAAGGCCAAGAACCTCCACTCCAACCAGCCCAAGGAGCTCCTGGGGAAAGGTGAGTGAGGGGTGAGAGGAGAGAACCAGGGCCCCTCTGGCCTCTGGGGATGTGTGTAGAGGGACGTCTCACCTGGAAGACAATGGGGACAGGTGAGCAGGGAGGTGGGATATGAGTACATTTGTGGAGTCAGCCTTAGCTGTGTCCCTCATCCCAAGCTCACAAATTAATTTTTAAAGGACACACTCACTTCTTTAAGTTCATATCCATTTACTTCTTGGCCAATCCCATCCATAAAGGCTCAGATATGAGCTCATGCCTACCCGGGACTCCCAACCTTGGTGATCCACCGTGAGAAGAACCAGTCTCCCCCCTGGGTTACAGGAAGCCAGTGGTCAGGCTGTAGCCGTGGAGTGGAGTGTCTGGGCTATAAAGGGAACTTGGCCCAGACCTTGTCACCCAGAGCTAGCTGGGCCCACCTCCCGGGCAAGTGTCGAGCAACCTAGGTTCCCTTCTCCTGTCTCAGCCAGCCAGCCATCCCTGTGCTTCTCACCCGTAGCCCATATCCTCTTTTCTCAGCCTTTGCCAGCAGGCCACCTCCATACCAGCTGAGTGTGGGTGATGGCAGAAGGTATGTGGGTTCCTGGGCTGAGGCGGCCTAAAGCTTAGGGCATCTGTGCCCCATATACCCAAATAAACATCCCTTCAATATTCTGGAAACCTTGGTTTCTCCTTTTGGATATCTCACCCCAGGCCCTAGTCCAGGGGCCAAGTAGGTTCTCTTGTCAGAGCAGGAAAGCATCACTGGTTACCATATGGTACCTTGTGCAGCATATAAATAAATAGATATTTATAGCAGGGTACGAGAAAAGAATTGCCACTGCGTTCAGAATCTCTGAGCAGAAGCTCTTGGGTGAATGAATCCGAAGCGTTGACCTTGCTCACTGATTCCTGAGCCAAAGGTCGGAATTCGGTGCGCTTTGCTCAGTATCCCTTCCAGACAGTTTTCTGCCTCGTTCTTTTTTATAGCGTCTGTCAGGACAATGACAGCACACTTTGTCTCTCAAATATCCGCTGAAATAACAAATTAACCACCAGGGGGTGGTGATAACAATAAATGCAGAGGAACAAATATCCTCACATTTGCAATGGGAACCTTGACTAATGAAAGCTTAACGTGAAAGCTCAGCTGGTGGCCTGTTTCCCTGGGGGCGGGGAGGGCGGATTTCCTAGGGGGCGGCTCTATTGGTGCAGTGCCCCTGGGGCCAAGCCAGCCTCCCTTCACCCTCCACATGCAGTTTGGGTCCTCAAGTAAAACTTAGGAAAGAACAGAGCACAAGAACTCATCCGAGCAGCAGGTGACCTACTAGCTCCTAATAGACAAAAATACTTGGATAGAGAACCAAGGGCATGAGGATACCGGGTGGTTTAGTTTTTTTGGACTGAATTTAAAATCAAACTGCAGGATGTCTGAGCCATTGTCTGGGCCTGGCTTGATGTGGGACATACAGGCACTTGGGAAGGCTTATGGCAAAGGGTGGCTCCCTGGCTGTCCTCTATGGTGACACAATCATGGGCCCCCCAATGACCAGCCTTACATATTATGCCACTGTCTGCTTTCCATACTTGAGTATACATTCTGTAAGGCAGGAACATTTGCTATATCCCCATGTCTAGACCAGTGTCTGCCATATGGTGGGCATTTAGTAATTGTTGAATTAATACCCGACCCATGGCTGGGGCTGGGGTGGGGGGGTTGCATAGAGAGGGAGTCTCAATGCAGATCTTGAGCCAGAGACTCTTTCTCCTTTCTCTCCATCCCTAAGACAGAGCATTACCCTGGGCCTCGCCACATCCCCGAATCTCACTCTTGAGATTCTCCCTGACTCTTTCCCCCTCTGTCCCTCCCCAGATGTCTCTGTCAAGGTGACCTTAAAGCACCAGGCTCGGAAGCTGAAGAAGAAGCAGACGAAACGAGCCAAGCACAAGATCAACCCCGTGTGGAATGAGATGATCATGTTCGAGCTGCCCGACGACCTGCTGCAGGCCTCGAGCGTGGAGCTGGAGGTGCTGGGCCAGGAGGAGGAGGGGCAGAGCTGCGCGCTGGGCCGCTGCAGCCTGGGCTTGCACGCCGCGGGCTCGGAGCGCAGCCACTGGGAGGAGATGCTCAAAAACCCGCGCCGGCAGATCGCCATGTGGCACCAGCTGCACCTGTAGCTGCCTTCCTGGGCCACCTCCCTTCTCCTGCACAGCCCTGCCCCTTCGGTCCCAGCTGTCCTCTGCCACCTCCTCTTTGTGCCACGTCCTCATTATGACAGGCGTGTTTGCAAAGACCAAGACCCTATTTCCTTGTCATCACACCACCGTTTCTAAACAGTGAGCAGGGCAGGGCAGCGTGTGGACATCTGGGTCACACTGAGGAATGCGTTTTGCTCATCTGTGTCATTGATGAGGCACTTATCAATTTCAGCCCATGTGTAGGATTTGCGGGTGGGGGCGCCAGTCCAGATGCAGAGAAAGCTGAATTGGGGGAATAATGGATACAAAGAATTTGGTTTTTTAAAAATGAGCATTTTAAAAATGATGAAAAAAATAAAAGTATCCTGGATCAACTCATAGAATTAGAGATTGTCAGGGTGGGGTGAAATCTCAGGCAGCATGAAGTCACACTCCCAACCCAAGCAGCTCTCAAACCTTAGTGTGTGGAGAAATCACCAGCAGACTCCCGGGCCCACCTGTAGACTTTCCAAACCAGTGTTCCTGGCAGATCTCAGGAGCCTTCCTTTTCAGCAAGCACTCAGCGGCTTGGTTGCAGAGGTTGGAGCACTGGGCTTGGAGAAATCCCTTCTGCAACATTCCAGACAAGTTTTCACAGTCCTTAACACCCTGGGGCAGCCGGTTCCAATGCGGGATATCTCAACCATCAGTGTGAAATTTGGAAGACTCTGGGTACTTCATTTAATTATTCTGATTCTTCATATTTTCTTTTGTACTTTTCAGATCCTGCTCTTGGATTGCATTTGTACTTTTTATTGATTAACTTTATTGTTTTATCTCAGAATCAGTTTATATTATATTTGAGGGGGGCCTTCCTTGGCAGAGTACAGGTGGGATCCCCCTATTAGTCATCAGGTCCTCGTTGTCACATCCACCAGCATCACCAAAGTGACCCTCTGAGACAGACCTACCCCTCCTGGCGGTCCAGCCACTTCAGGAAGAATCCCACACTTGGGGCTCATGTTAATTTAGTTCACTACATCTGGCTCCGGGGAGGCGGGGAAGGAAGATAACTCTGAATAGGAAACAAAGACTTTTACAAATGTGCCTCCAGCTTTAGTTTGCAGGACTGATCCCTTTAAAATAAGTAAATAACCAGCAGCCAGGTTTCAGATTCCTACCTTATTATTTCAAAGAGCTGTCCGGTAATTAAATGATGAGCCTTGTGGAGTGGATATGTTTGCCTGTGAGCCAAGACTCCTGGATTCTGTTGTTGGCCATCTGATACGCAGCACTGAGGACACGGCAGCTCTATTGGTGAGAACGATGTGATTGATAGATGAAAGTGTGCTCAAAGCTGCACGTGCTCCCCAGCTAAAAACGAACTCTGGGGCCACCAGCAGATCATCTTTAAGCTTTAAGTTGGCAGCTGACAATGCCTGGAGAGAGCCAATTCCATTGTAAGCATTTCCAGTACCCTGAATTCTGCGTTTGGACGCCTTAGTACTGACATCCAAACTCTGGGTCTTCAGATGTCATCCTGGTCCTGATCTAAAAGAGAATTCCTAGATCCAGGAACCCCTAGGGTCAGGGCTATCCTTCAACCTCAATAAGTCAAGTCATTCTTGGTCTCCCCCTGAAACTCTGAGCAGGGACCTATCCCCCTTCGTTATCATTTTTCCTTTCTGTACAGAAGTAGAAAAGCATTAGAAACAACTTCTATCCACCGTCTAAAGAAACAGAAAAAATATCAAATCCTTGTCTAAAAGGGAAATCTTTCAGATTGGAAATCTTGATCACTGAGGTTGACCACCTCCTACCAATTTTTTTTTAGGCAACACATTTGTGAGTGATTTCCTATACATGTTTTTAGACCCTGACCCCCCCCCTCCCCCCCGCCTCCAGTCACTCTGGTTTCCCTTATTTGGTTGGCATGGCTAAAATAGAACAAAACATTCCCTATGTAAGCTGACCAGTACTCTCTTCTTGGTAATATCTGCTACTTCGGTCTAGAAAAGTCTGGATTCTAGGCTTAGAATTAGCAAACATGGTTCTATTTCTTTATAAATCTATATACCTGCCTTGTAGTCACACCAAAGGATGCTTGAGGTGGGTTGGGTAGGGTCTCTGATCCTAAAAATAGCACCTCTACCCATGGTCATTCCACCATGAGGCATTCATTTCTTTGGATCCCAGAGGTTTAGTTTTCCAGAATCTATAAACTAGGTTGCCCCTGATAAGAGTCAAATGCCACCACAGAACATCTTAGGTATCAGCTGTCATCTCTCTTACCAGGCATGTACAAAAATAAGAGGATTTCCAGGGAGCTTTTTCTGTTGTGTTCACTGGTGTGTTCCGACACCTAGGATAAAGCTGGCTCATGGGCCTGCAGAAAAGTATTTGTTGAATGAATTGAGTAAAGGATAGATAGGGGAGTAGAGAGAAAAGGACACTGCAAATGGCATAAAAATCAGAGTCCCAGGTCGTTTCTCAATGGTAAAGGCATCAGAAATCTCAGTTGGCCTAGAAATTCATGGCATCAATTATTACCATTCACCTAATGACAATTCATAGCTCTCTGTGTAAATGTCATTAATGATAGAAGAGAATATAATCACTGTGCTTTTCTGCCCAAATTTGGTCTTGGTGAATTTTATATTAGTCAGAGGTATCAGACTGCCAGATCCAAAACTTCAGTGCTTACCTTGTACCAGATACATCTGCAGTTTACTACCCACCAAATAAGAGTAATTGGGTCTGTGTGAGCACATCTGATTTTTTTCGAAAGGAACACCTTGTACTTTGCCAGGGAGTGTTTTCTAAGAGGGGCATGAAGCAGAGGTGAAAATAAAGTAAGAAACCATCTCAGACTGGGCTGTTTCCCACAAGGAGATCTGGTTCTTTCATAGATACAGCAATGGGGATAAAGAATTGGGAGTCCACTCTCATTAATCTGTGACTCCACTTCTTAAATCAATATCTATTTGTTGAGTGCCGATTGATCAAGACCTTGCACATGTCTGTTCATTTCAATCTGACATGACTCTTGGTGGAGGTTGAGTGAAAAATCACCCCAAATGACACCATGTAAAGAGCAGGATGGGAGATCAGTTCTTTATGAGTCATTCCTTTGGGATACAAGGAGTCCTGGGTGGCAGGTGGCTAGTGCCTAAGCCAAATTGAGGTGAGGACCACAAAACACAGAAATCTAGCCCTTGTGATTTGTTTCTGCCGCTGTGTTTCCTGTTGTCAATGCTAAGTGTGTATTTGTTTGTAATTATGAACTGAAGCACAAAAACACGCATGAGGCATTGTAGTCATATGTCTGATGCCACACTTTGGAGCAAAAACCTTTCAGTGGTAAATAAATAATTTCCAATTGGGTTAGCTGCCTGGTGTTTTCGTCTTTTCACTCAATATTTTAGACATATAAAATGCAGAAACGATAATTTTTTTTTAAAAAACCACACTTTTACTTTTTTAAATATATATATCTTTATTGACTTCAGAGAGAGGAAGGGAGAGAGAAAGAGAGAAACATCAATGATGAGAGAGTCATTGATCGGCTGCCTCCTGCGTGCCCCCCACTGGGGATCGAGCCCACAACCGGGGCATGTTCCCTGACCGGGAATTGAACAGATCTTCCTGGATCCTTGGTCGATGCTCAACCGCTGAGCCACGCCCGGCCAGGCCAGAAACAATAATTTGATAAACACTCATAAACCACTGCTAAGCTTTATAAAACTTGACAAGTACAATAGAAACTTTCTCAGTTCTTTACTGAGGAGACCACCACCTGAATTTGAGATTTCTCACCCCAAGCATTTCTTTATCCCTTCACTGCACGTACATGCAAACCCTGAACATCATAGAATATTTTTGTGTTTTAAAACTTCATTTAAATTTTATTGCACTACTTTGCTCCCCATTAAAATTTTGAGCTTTATCCATGCAGACATATGTAGCTCTAGTTCATTTCATTTTTGTTGCTGTATAATATTCCATTGTATGGATATACAACAATCCCATTCTGTCACTGATGTACATTTAAATGTTTCCTTTTCTCTCTCTCTCTCTCTTTTTCCTGTTACAGGACCACTANTCCCATTCTGTCACTGATGTACATTTAAATGTTTCCTTTTCTCTCTCTCTTTCCTGTTACAGGACCACTGTGAACATTCTTGTGCATGTCTTCTTGTGCACGTGTACAGGTTTCTCTGAGATATCTACCTAGGAGTGAATAGAATTGCTGGATCATAGATTGCTCTGTGTGTGTGTGTGTGTGTGTGTGTGTGTGTGTGTGTGTGTGTGTGCACCTTGATGGTCTTGCTTGACAATTGAATCAAAGGGGCTACATACAAGTAGGGATGCTGTTCTGGGAGCTTTGACTCCATTGCTGAGGTAAAAATTCAGTTAGAAATTAAGACTCCTCTTTCTCTAATATCCCCAAAACAAAAATCCTGGCAGAGTCGGTGCAGCAACCAGTGGTACCCCCGCACCCAGTGGTGGGCAAGGACAGGGGGACTCCTGGAGTCCTGTCACCTAGGCCGTTCTGGTGGCCACTGCAGCCCTGGTGTCTGGAGAAAGAGGCTCTGGCATTAAATAAGGGGCAGGCCTGAATTTTAAAATCAGTAGGAAATTAGCCAGGTCACGTGGAATTAAAACCAAAGATTCTTAAAAAGGCTCCATAAAGGAAGCCATGAGATGTCTTCACTTTCCAAGTCTGTGCATATAATTCCTTATTTTATATTACATACATATGATATTTTAATGACAAACAGGATTTTTATTTTCATAATAAAATAGGAGCGGGTTTTATTCTGCATAGACAAATATTATATAAACTATGTTTCATAGGTAACTAACTATGCATACGGCCCATCAGAGCCCAAAACTAATATTTGAGAGCCTGGATTTATATACAAGAGAACTGGGGGAGGAAAGTAGACTTCATTAGCCACTTTACACAAGTGTCTCCACTGATTTTCCTTAAATACACTCTGCTGGGAGAGGAAAGTAGACTTCATTAGCCACTTTACACAAGCCTCTCCACTGAATTTCCTTAAATACACTCTGCGCCTGCACATAAACAAGTCTAGAGCATTGCATTTAGCAGCTGAGAACCTGCAACCCAGCATGGCTTGGTCGCAGCCACCTTCATGGCCCTGAGCAAGTTACTTGCTTCTGGGTGTCAGTTTCCACATCTGTAAAATGAACTTGGACCAAATGATCACTAAAGTCCCTTCTAGATGTAAGAGTTAATATTTTGTGATTCTGTGATCTAGACTGGCAACAATGTACTTTTCACACGTATGTTGGCCTCCAATCTTGTGCATAAAACATAAACCCATGTATATGTGCACCTGCCCTCCCTCCCCATGTTGGTAATCCTCCCTGGCATCTTCTGAAGTCCTGACAGCCACCCACTCCTCCAGATAATATGCAAGTCACCTGAGGCTCTGAGTCTGTTTATTCTCATTTCCTTAATTGCTTATGGAGCGGGTGGTAATTTTCCACCCAAGAGTTTCTGTTTTTCTAGAGCCAATTGGAAGCACCACCATTGCAGGAGCTCAGATCCCTAGCATCTGTTCTGTCTCCCTCCTGGGCAGATGCCTGGCAAGGACAGAGCCACAGGATGTAGCTGTGGATGGATTTAAGGGGTTGGGCATTTTCTTGGTGTGAGTGTTAGAGAACTACTCCTGAGCTCCCCTCCGTCTCCTGCAGGCGGGTCAGCACAGATGGTTGGTGATGGGACCATCAGCAGCTTCCCCAGCCAGAGATGGAGGCAGGTGCCTGCCTGGGAGGAGATGGGAGAAAGCCAGTCTTGCAGGCTGGAAGCCAGACATTGCCATGGAAACAGGTGTAGTGGTGGCCTCCATGTGATGAGGGCCCTGCGGTGGCTCGTCCTAGGCCAGGTGTGGTTGCCTGTCAAAGCGGCCCAGGCTGGAGCATGGTTTCCCTCCCCAGGTCCCCAAGGGTCTTTCTTGGTGCTTCAGGGCAGCCCATTGGCAAGTGATTGCAGAAATCTTATTTCAGAAACCCAGGGATACAAACCAGGGACAAACAAGGAGAAAATTGTTTTTCCAGCCAAAAACAAATNTTTCAGAAACCCAGGGATACAAACCAGGGACAAACAAGGAGAAAATTGTTTTTCCAGACAAAAACAAATAAACAAACAAACAACAAACAAGCCAACCAGCAAAACCTCTATGCAATCCCTTTTCCCTCCAGAGCCAGGTGAGATGAGCTGTTGATGCACAAAAAGGTGCCTGAGGATCTCCATCTCGGCTGAGAAGGAAAAGATGACCTCCATTCAGGCAGAGGCATCCAGGTCGGCTGCGGGAATAGGTTTTAAGCAGAGAGGGTGCCGTGACTGGATCTGTGTTTTTCAAAAAACTACTCTAGAAATTGTCACATAGCAGCCCTTGGGGGCTTCGGGCAGCTTGCCCCTCTCCTGAGTCTCTTTGAACCTTGGACAGGGAAGCAGGGAGCAGCTGGGGAGGAGGGAGGGAAGAGCGTGGACTCCACCTCATCCCCTTACCACATCTCCACATGCTTTGGGGAGACCAACCACCCGAGTACAGATGGAGGGTCTTTCCTTTCCTCGCTTCCCGGTGATGAAATCGGCAGCACAGCCCGGATAGAGCTGCAAACGCGGGTCAAGTCCAGGCGGCCAGCAGTGGGGCGGGCTGACCCTGCTGCACCTGGGCTGGGTAGACACTGTCAGCTATGCTCCTCCTCTGGGGAAAGAAGAGAGCCAGAACATTCCATGGGGACTGAGGGGTGGCTTTTGCAAGAGGAAGCCTCTGACCAACTGTGGGGGCCTCCAGGGGCTTCGAGGGACACATGCGGGGAGGGAGGTGGCAGGCGCTAAGAAGGTAGAGACTAGAAGGAAAGTGAAAAGGGGGAGCCAGAAAGCAGGCGTGGGGGCGGAGATCAGCGCCTGGGAAGAAAAAATAAAAACCCCCTATCTGCGTCTTCATTACATTTATGCCCATCTTTCTAAAACAACTTGAGTAAAACATCACTTACCACCCACCCATACCAGCGCCATTAGCAAACTCCTGGGGAAAGACCCCTCCCCAGGGACCCGGCCGGCGAGTAGAGTCAGCAGCGAGGCAGTGGAGGGAGGATGGGAACCTTTCCCCTGCAGCAGACCCGTTTCCTCAGAAATTCGTGCGGGACAAGCGCAGTCGGGGCTAGGGAGATTTATTTTTAATGGTGTCAGTGACACCTCCTTTTGGCCTGACCAGTAGATGAGACATGTAGGTGATCTGCTGGAAGTAGGCTCAAATGATGGAAGTGAGAGCAGCAGCAAGGGGCTTAAGGCCTCTTCTAGTTCCTTCCAACCCCCAGCTGGCAGGCTCCTAATCTGACGCCAGAGGCCTTGAGAGGGGACCCGCTCGGAGTCAGCCTGAGCACAGGCCTGGGGTAGAGGCAAGGAGGGCAAGGAGGCAGACATTGGACCTTGGTGAGTAAATTTAAATGCTTTTATTAACAATCTTCTTACATTACGAGGATAATATGACAAAAGGAAAGTTCTGCGTACATATTATGATAAACCAACATAGCTCTATTTGTATCCAGTGTTCTAGGCCCCGTCACACAGGTACTATAAAGCGTAGTCTGCAAAATAATAACATCAAGGTTTTTTTCTTTTTTAAGAAAGAAAGTATTAACATATTAATATGTATGTGATAATAGACTCCTAGGTATCCCCCCCACCCCACTATATTTTTCCTTTATGATTGAAATGAAATGGTTCAGCAGCGTGGGGGTGAGGGAGAGACAGGGGCTGAAAAAGAAGGAATCAGACTGCTGGCTCTTCCGGAGAGACGAAGTGAAGGCTGAGGGATGCCGAGGGCAGCCTGGCCCTTGTCTTTTTGTGAGCAGTACTGTCACCGGCTGTCCCTGGACGGAGGGCCCGGTGCCCTTGATGCCCTGTGGCTGCTCTCTGAGGTACAGTGCATTGTGGGATTGCTACCCGGGGGTGCCCATCCCCTGCCCATGGGTCTGATCCACCGCAGCGGGCGGAAGGCTTGAGCCAGGCCCTTGGAGGGTGCTCCGAGACCCGGTTGGCAGCTAGCCGTGGCTCGAGGAGACCCACGTGGACTTGGAGGGAGAGGAGGTGGGCACTGGCAGAGCAGACCCGCTCCGGACTGCAGGCATAGGGGCGGGTCTGCTGGAGACTGAGGTCCGTTGGTAGACGGTGGGGCAGACAGGGCAGGACGGGGCAGAGGGGGCTCAGAGAGGGAGAACCAAAAGGCAGAGGCTGGTCTGGAGAACAGAGGGCGCAGCTGTCCTTGGTCTCCCTTCATCTGCAACCTCATCAGCCCCTCCTCCGCCACCCCCAGGGGAAAGGAACTACGGAGGGAAACCTGGAAGCG